ATTTTTGCAATGATATATTATCATTTAGTTTAGTTAATATATTATTTGTTTTGTTTAGAAAAAAAAATTGTATTTGTTGATTAAAAGTACACAATTTTATTATTAATAATTGAAATATCGTCACATATATATTTTTAATTGTGTATGTTTAATATCCTGGAGGAAAAACTTTTACGAAAAACTACATAGATTAAACAAGATCTTAAAAATTTTTCTAAAAGTTTTTCGTAGATATTTGTAGTGGGACATTGTTTGTTTAAAAAATCAAGAAACCCTTTGCCCTTTCCATACTTTTTGACGAGTTTTTACAGAATATTTTTTCATATTTTATATCATAAAATAAACGCCACTCTACGTCTCACTACAAATATCTACGACAAACTAAATACTTTTAAGATTTTGTCCTAATCTATGTATTCCATACAGCTTTCCTGTACTTTTTCGTAAAAGTTTTTTTCATCAAGATATTTTAAAGTTACATATATTATTTTTATAAATGAAAATATAGAATCTATGAGACAAATTAGGAAGCACGTATATCTAAGCATGAAATTTCCGATAAAGAAATAATCTAAAAATCCTCGTGGTAATAAACCTTAATATACATATTTATCACTATAAACATATACAGGTTTGCCAGCGACCTACAAGATGCAAAAGTTACTTTGGTACCTCCCCGCTAGATGACTTTTTTTTAAACCAATTATAAATATCTAGCTCGTATTTTGTTACATATATTATGATAAAAACGGTCAGAAACACGAGCAACAATTATCTTAGATGGGGGGGGGAGGGAAGATAATATCTTAGATCATTAATTTATTTAATAAACATATATAATTATTGGGTAAAACGTTTTACTCAATAATTTCTTATTTTTAAGATATAGGAATTTGAAAATATCGTATCGTATTTTTTATCTAGTATCATTTGATTATATAAGTATAAAAGCAGAAACATGTATCTTATGTCATATCATTACCCTTGTAATGTGTGTAAAACGTAATTGTTAGCTGTTATACTTCACACACACACACACACACACACACACACACACACACACACACA